CCCACCAGGGAGGGCCCGGCGTACCGCAAAAAAAAAAAAAAAAGAAAACCAACATCCTCCAATAAACCCCAAGATGGCCAAAACTAGGGAACCCACAGACCCAAGGCTGGAACTTAAGGCAGGACCGGCCCCCAACAATTGAGCTCAACTCTGAATCCCTTTCATCCAGTAAAAAGCACACATGTAGAGAACACTGTCCTTACTACACATAGGAAAATGGTCCTCCCATTTCAGCCTTCACGGTAAAATTCACCTGAAAATAAGACACCAGAGTCAGTCTGTGGCTAAGGAGGCTTGACAAAGAACAGTACGATTATCCGCAACACAAGGACCTGAGAGCATTCTTCTATCACATACAAAATATTTCCCCAAGACTGTCCCTGATCCAGACGATGAGCCTCTAACAAATCTTCCAACCTATTCCCTGTTGAGAGGCCAATGGACCACATGGCCTCTTCTCGATTGCTGGCAAATTGCTTTCTCCGACAAATTCTTTTGTTCCTGTAACACTTAAATGCTACCTGATTTTTTCCCCTAATTTTTCATAATTACAGAGCTCATCAGGTCTTCCTCATCAACCAGTTGCTACAAGCGGAAATGAGGCGAGGAAGAGGAAAGTAATGAGGTGACAGCATTCCACAGCGCCTGCTCTCCTCTCAGGCCCACGGGGCCAGGATCCTAAAAGGATGGCATACCAGATGCTCGCTCCGAGGTGGAATGAGGGAGACGTTAGTTGTCACATATGACCCGACCACGGTGTTCATGTACTGAACCTGGCTGGACAGGCTGGTCACCGCCACAGAGTAGAAGTTGGAGTTCCTGATTTTCAGGGTGGCCTGCATCAGAGCAAGAGAGGAAACACGTGTAAGTGTCCTGGGTACAAGACTCACAGGTGCACAACCCAGGAAGGGAGGCCCTCATCTTACCGTGATGGCGAGGATTACAAGGGAGTCCTGCTCATTAAACGTGACTTTCACCACTTTGATGCCGTCATCATCCACGAGGACCGAATGTGGAAACAGGAAGAAAACCACCAAACCAGATGCCAGGAGACAGAGCAGAACAGACAGGAGGACATACTGCTTACTGCAAACGACAAAGCACATGACCAACCCAGGCAGTCAGATATCAAGGTCCAATCAGTCAAGATTAAATGCAAAACCACGAATGAGGCGGGGAGGGACAAGAAAGTGAAAAGAGCAAGGAATCACGAACCAGGAAAGAGTAAGTGGAGCGGGTTCACAAACCCATCTGAATGCTGTCTGCCGTCTGGGAAGAGAAGCTGAAGAGAGGAACTGTGTGGACAGAAACATCTCCTCACCTCCCAGGACACCCTCTCCTCCGATTCCTACTGATTCAAGTTCCTTCATTTGGCCCTCTGTTCTCAAAACATTTCTAGCTTCAAGTTCCCTTCCCCAGACTGTGATGGGGGCAGAGACATCTTGCTTGAGGAAACAGTGTTAAAGCAAGTGGGGAAGTTACAAGAACAGATAACGTTTTCAAGAAGTTAACTGGCATTCATACACAGAAAAAGGGACTAGGGACAACCGTAGGCATTAACAGGAGACGCAGGTGACTCACGTTCTCTGAGGACGCAATCTCTGATCACTGTGTGGGATCAAAGCCACCAACTCATTTACTTGCTCTAGAAAAGAAACAAATAACAATTTCGGTAAAATGAACCCCATGTGTTGCAGTACTTTCCATCACATACACAGTAGCCTGTCACAAATATATTGTCTGGAATTAGACGTTTCTAAGATACCAGTTTTATATTTGGGGTCTAATGAACAAGAAACAAGTAAATATGTAGAGAGCGCTACAAATGACAAAATATGTATCAGTGCTCTCAGGGCAGTGACGTGGAAGTTGAGAAATCTAGGATCTTGTTCTGGCTTTACTGCATGGCCCTGAGCTGCTGCATGGCTTTCAGCTATTGCATAGCCTTGGGGAAGTCATTACCTCTCTAGGCCACTGTGTCCTCATCTGTAATATGAAGGCTTTGGAGTAAATGGTTTCTAAGGTTCTTACCAGCTCTAAACCTCTGTGACCCTCCATCTACACTGTTAAGACTTTTTGAGAGCCAACTTAGTGATAGATGATTCTGTACCCAATCCAGGCTCCACTCCTGTGCATGTTTTTCTCCCTCCACTTGATTTATTTTTCAGATCTTAGGTTGTTAATGATTCACTACCTGCTTCCTTGAACAGAAGTTTCCAAGATGGTGTCTGCTCCTCCCCCACAAAGCCATGCCAGGCCTTATGAGTGAGAGCAATAAAGAAATGTGCCTGTCAACAAATCCCACAATCTAGAGCAAGCCAAATGTTCCAAACCAAGGAAACAACGAACAAAAGAGTGGAAGTGAAGAAAAGCAAGGCTTTCAAATACTGGGAAACCTAGAGAAGTTGTGGAACCTGCCCAAGTTTATCAAGTCAGCTCGGCTGGCTCCTGTACAGGGCATGGCCTATGACTGTGGTACTGCCGCCTAGGAGAAAAGTTCTGCCTGGGAGACTGGAGAAGCCCTCTGGGTATCCTGGAATTCTCTGTGGGGAATCATCCTTCCCATGATCACCAAAGACTCTCACCTGTTGGAATGTAGCCTGTCCCCTGGCACGTGAGACAGGTGATGCTATCTCGCCCTGTGAACTCCACATATGGGAACTGAGCAATGGCTTCTTCCTGCTCCCGTTCAGCCAGCAAATCCTCCCTGTCATCTGCCTTCTTCCGCTTGCAAGAAGCGGGGTGAGCATAAGCGGACTGCTGGGACCCCATGGCCAGGATGTGCCACTTGTGTCATGTCCTAGGATGCAAAGAGGCAAGTGAGTGCGTGTTGGTGGCCGTGCATCTTTCTGTGAGAAAAGTGAGAACACAAAAATGACCAAATTGCCGTCCTGAATGTGATCCCAAACACCTGCACAATTTCTAGCAGGCTCCTCATTTTGTAGCAGTGCTCCCTAACCCCGCTCCGACTCCTGACACACACAGCCGGAGAAACGGGGCGCCAGCTTCTCACAGCCTCACGGCTCAGGTCACCCCAGCTCCCACGTGGTCCAGCCTCACCCCTTCCTGTCCGCTATTTGCAAACTCTGTGCCCTCCTTGAGAAAACCTCCCCAACAATCAACAGGCACCAAATTAATAACAGGCCTCAAAGATTCCCCATCCCCCTCCACTCCCAGACCCAGGAGGCGGGCTCAGGTCACGCCCCTTGGCAAAAAGCCCGCTCCGAGCCCACCGGAGTCGCCCAGGAGGGAGCAAATGCCGAAGGCTCCAGACCTGCAGGGCACGAGCTCCCGGCAGCTCCTTCACGGGCCGGACCGCCAGCCACCTGCCCGCTTCAGCGGGTTTACCTGCCTCTTGGGTCTTCGGAACTGCCCGCACTCGATGCGCACGCGCAGAATGGCAAGCCGGCCCGGGGACGCCGGCGTGAGCGCGCGCGTGCGCTCTTCGCGGCCCTGCTGACGGCTCCGGGAGAGGGCGGCAGAGAGCTGGGGCGGGGGTGGGGGCGGTTCGGGTTGGAGCAGCGCTTCTCGGGGCTTGAGGCTGGTGCAGTGGAGATGATTGAGTCCCCCAGAAACGCTGGGAAAGGCTCAAGTTTCCAGAGGAAGAGGAAGGCGGAAAGAGCCGGCAGCCAAAGCCATTCTCAGCTATTCTCTGAGCATAGGGGTTGTGTGGAGACGCCGAGGGTAAAAAGTGCATCAGACACAGAACCTGCCCTCATCCTGCTTTAGGGCGTCCCCTTCCCCAGCCCTAGACACACACACACACACACACACACACACACACACACACACACACAAGGCATGCACATAAGGGGTTAGAGGACACTTTTTAAAGGGCGGGTTTCTTTGTAGGGACTGCCTGGTTGAGCTTCGTCTGCAGCAGAAGGAAGCAAGCGAGGGCAGACTTTAAGCAGGTGAAGTTATAAAGACGATGCTGGGGAGAGGAGAGATTCGGAACTGGGTGAATGGGGGGCATGCGCTGCAACGTGGAGGGAGGCTGGCGACCTTTGAGTTCTCTGCCATCTCCACTTCTTCCTCCTCCTTCTCCCGTGAGGAAGGCTGGTGCCCCGCTGCTGTCTAGCCACCTGCGCAACTGCTGATCCCAGTCAGCCCACTGAGTCTTTAGAATAAGAAATGGTAAAGAAAAAATTATTGAATGACACTGGTTGGAGACAGTAAGGCAGACTTTGTTCAAGGTGGGCAATGGTGATGGGTGTGGAGGGACAGCTGCACCAATGGGGTCTTCCAGTGGGGGAGAGAGATTGGGTTCAAGTCTGAATCAGCAGGGTAACTGGGAATTTAGAGTCAAGGAACAGGGTGCCGGTCAGTGGATGGAAAATTACTAAGAGAAAACATCAGCGGTAAGGGGAATTCTGGCTAAACTGACCTAACAGGATTATTGCTGAAGACACACCATGGTGATGAGACATTACCTGGGGGATGATGGAGGATGAGGAATCCAATCAGATATGGAAGGTGATAAGGTTTTGAGAGGGGTTCTTGCTAAGCTGACTTAGCAGGGTTCATGCAAAAACTGGATTATACAGTAAGTGCACAGATGGGCCTAGGAGAAGGTTCAGGAATCTGACTAAAGTTTGGTCAAGAAAAGAATATTTGGCAGAAGCAACAAGAAACCATTGCTCCTCTTTTTCCACCTACGGCCCGTACCTTCCCCTTCCTGAAATCGATCTTCACCTCTCTCCTTGCAAGCTCTATACCAGTTTATATTCCTTGTTTATACAAATCTGATTTTGTTGGAGGCAGCGATTTGCTCAATGAAAAATACATTTCCCTGCCTACTTACCATATGACACAGTTTGAGCCAATGAGGTGTGTGGGACTTCCAGGAAAGCTCCTTAAGCGTGATGGAGACTCAACCTGTGATTTGATCTTCCTCTTCCTGTTTGGAATTTAGACTTGATGTTGGAGATGGGGTAGCTATCTTGTGCCCATGAGGCAAGAAGTGCATGTTAAGGAAGGCTGGATAGAGGGATTAAAAGAGGCTGGGTGCCCGATGACATTTGGAGCCACACTCAGGCTCTGGACTACCTTTCTTCTGACTTCTCATCGCATGAGAAAAATAATCAACCCCACCCCGACAAATTGTGTTGTGTGTGTGTGTGTGTGTGTGTGCCTTTCTCATAGTGGGATGCAATCCTAAAGGATGCAGACACAGAGCTAGTTAAGGGGGAAGCCTGGATTTTAACACAGGCAGTCTGATTGGTTTACCCAAACACCATGTAGGCCACACTTAAGTTTCTATCCTCTTCTAACATCTGCCCTTAGGGCACATGCCTTTAGAGAGAGGGAGGCCTCTTGCCTGTCTGAGGCCTGTCTTCCAAGTTCGGCTTTCTTGTCTGAGGACCCACTTCTCACAGGGAATTCACCTGGGGGATCTGGGGAATGAGCCCATCCTTTAATCACATGGGGATTGCCTCACTTTGTGGCCTCTGCTGGAACACTGCCAAGGGCAAGAGGCAGTGAGCCTAATGTCCACACTATGGATGAACACTGCAGAGGGTGGTCCAGGCTGTCCCAGGAACAGGGAAGGTGAGGAGGCAGCAGCCTGATTCATACCAGCTTAAGAGGAAGAGAAGGCCAGGGGAAGATTGAGGGCTGTGGATGCGTCATAAAGGAAGGGAAACAGGCTAAGGGCTTGGGCCTGTGCTGAGGAAAAGTGGGGCTCATGTTGCTGGGGACTGTAAAGGGGGTCGGGGGCGTAACCAGCAGAACCCTTGAGGCTTTCTGTCCACTGTCTGGGACAAATAGACTGTACCCTCCAGTGTGGCTCCTCCTTGTTCCTGAAGCACCCAGCTTGAAGCCTGAGGCATAGTAGGCCCTCAATAAACACTTGCAGACTGACTCCACCTGGAAGCTGGCCCGCACTGCCTGTGGGAGTAGTCCCAGCATCCACCATGGCCATCCAGGAGGCCGTTTTAATTGGGCAGCCCATTCCGAGGAGGCACACATCACTTCTCACTTGTGCCTGGCTTCCAAGGTTGTCTCAGCAACCCAGTTATGAGCAGTGAGGTTACTGCAGACATGAGCTCAGGGGGGGCTCTCTGCGGGGGCGGGGGGCGGGGTGGAGTGGGACAAACTGGGGATCCCTGCCCTCCCAGCCTCCTCGATTTCTCCACGTGCGTTATGTACTCCCAGCCCCACAGGCTGAGGGGAGACAAGGTATTGAGGGGCCGTGGTCCTGATAGGCCCTGCACATGGGGAAACCGAGGGCTTAGAGTTGGAAGTGTTCTTCATGGTTTTCATTCTGCCCCCTTTACTAAATCCACAGTGGAGAAAACTTGCTTGAGGTTAAATGACACCCAGTTAGTGAAAAAATCCAGACCAGAACCAAATCCTCTATTTCCTTGTTCAGTATACTTTCCAAAGAGATCAGGGGACCAGTTAGAGCGTGGGCAGTGAGGGGCAGAGCCAGGTCGTAGCCCATTGCTGCAGCCACCGTGGCCACAGGCAGATTTCAGGGGCACACAACCCTTTTTATTTAAGGGATTCTGTGTTTATCCGAACTCACATCAGAGATCTCAGCGTTCAAAGCTCTGGTGGATGTGTTGCTCAGATAAAGAGAGAAATCGATCCCACCCTCCAAAGTTCCAGGTCCAGTTCTCTAAAGGAAGGTCTAGAGGGAGAAGGGGAAGAAGACGGTCCCTTGCATTTAAGAACATCTTCCAGCAATGGAGCATTTTGCCACTTGTGCTTCCATCTATGTGAAGGAGCTATTACTTCCATTTTACCCTGAGACACAATCGGGGAAGCTGATTGCCCCAGCTACAGTGGTAAGGTCAGGACCGGGTCATGGCTTTTCTGCTCCCAAGTGCTGTCTCTTTTTACTTTACCGTGCTATTTCCCAGGAAGATTGGCTACAGAAAGCAAGTTTACAGGCCTGTTCTAGGAACAGAAGTGGCACAGAGGGTGCTTATACACGGAAGTGGTCTAGGTTGGGGGTTTGCACTGTGTCCTGGGCCCATAGCATCTGAAGGCAGGAGCTCTGCCCAGAGAGGTCACCTTGATGGAGAGACCCCTTGGGATGCAGGGGCTTGTGTGTGCAAGGAACTGACAATCCATCTCAAGCCACTGAAGGTCTTAGCCCTTTACTGAAGCTGCAATCAACCATGATGGTCCTCCAGGCCAAGGTCTTCCTCAGCTCCTTTCCCGTGGGGCATAGAGGAGGCTGATTGTGGGACTCATGCTCACCTGGCTCAGGGGTGCTCCCTGGAAGAGCCAATAAAGTGTTCTGAGTGCCGGCTGCATGGAAGGTATGTACCTTCTTCCACAAACCCAGGTGGACAAAAGATGTCCTAGTAGAAAAAAAATGGAAACCAACCTAAATCCGACTCAGAGCCCCATCCTGACTGGCTGGCAGGGGATTTGGTCTTGGTCCCTGAGGCTGCCTTCCCTTCCCCAGGATGTCTCAGGAACCCAGGAAGCAGGGGCGGAAGGGCCTCTCTCGCTCAGCCCACCGTGTCACGCTCTCTTCTCGTTCAACACCCCATGGGCCTCTGATCTGGGGGATGGTACTGCTTTCTTGGGGCCTGGGAATCTTTGCTGAGGCTGCCAGAGCTGGTGCCCAGGATCCTGCACGCCCAGTGCACAGGCCAGACCCAGCCAGGGCAGGGGTCTCAGAGCCTCCTGGCCCCCCCAGTGGGCTCACCCGAGGGAAGTCCCTTCCCTGCCTGGTGCAGGCTCCATCTCTCCCTGCCGTCCCCATACTTTCCTTTCTCTCCTCAACGGCATCTCAGTAGCATCTCTCTAATGAGCTGAGCCATTGATAGAAGACAGTTTAAG